CGTATGTCTCCTTTTTTTGGTATTTTCATGCAAATTCTTCTGCTAATTGGGGTTTAGTTCAATTCTGTATCCTTCCCTTCAAGGCTCAGGGGTCCACGATTATCTTCTGTGTCTGTGTTAATTGGTTTCCCTTTTCTTTGTTGAAGAGGGTCTGTGTAATCCTTCTGCCTAATCCTCCATCTTGCCGGAACTTGTATTCTTTAAAAATATGGAAATGTTATTTAGAGAAGACTTACAAAAATTTCTGGCTGACTTTGTCTCGAGCTAGTAACTTTGTTAAACTGAGCTGTTGTAACATAGCCTGAAAAGTCTGGATGGTACAAATGGTTAACATACTTGGCTGCTGTGGTAGTTAAAGTTGTATGTCAGCTTGGCTGGGTCTGGTTGAGTGGCTGGGCAGCTGGTGGTAGTTATTCCCCATGATGAGACTGGCAGTCACCTCCATGGTGGGACCTACCACAAGCAGCTGTATAGCTGCTTTAGGGATGCGGTCTGCTTCCTGTATATAAGCAGCAGCTTTGGGAATGGTCTCTTAACTTATGGCACACTTGAACCCTGCATGTAGCCAAGTCGTTCAGCAGCCTGCCATGCTCTGCTGATCTTGGGATTTTTAATGGACTTGAATTAATGGCCTGCCATGTGGTTTGATAATATTGGGACTGTCCCTTGTTACTTGTCAACCTTGGGTTTGTCAGCCTCAGCAGCCAGCAGCTGTTTGAGTGAAGAAAAGCCTCCAGCTTCAGTGGGCCGGGAGCAGGAGGCAGAGTTGAAGCCCAAGGTTGAGGGGCTTTCACCCAGCCCCTAGAGCCTGGCACTTTGGACTTGGACTTAAAGCCTCCAAACTGTAAGAGAATAAACTCCTGTTTGTTCAAGCCATCCCATCTGTGGTATATTCTTGTCAGAGTGGCACTAGGAAACCCAAACAAATGCTAACCGAAAGGCTGGGAGTTCTGATTTTCCCAGAGTCATCTCAGAAGAAAGGTCTGGAAATATACTGCCCCCCCCCAAAAAAAACCACCCAGCTCTTCATCACCGTATGGGGCACAGTTGTACTGTGACTTACATGGAGCTCTCACACGGTACTGTTGGCTCAGTGGCACCTGATTTATTCTAACCAAATAGCAGGTGGTGGATTTCGGTCCTGGTTTGATAGAGACACCTAACTCTTTTGAGGACAGAACTGTAAACGGCATCTGTTCCTCATTTATCAACTCTCGTTACCTGATGTTTTCCATTTATGACAGTAGTAAAAAATCTTCTGTTTGATTATTTTGCACGGTAACAAACATCAAGGTGCAGGGCTGGCTGTGATGGTTAAAGTCAGCTGTCATCTTGGCTGGGCTGTGGTTCACAGTGGTGTGGTAGTTATGTAATGATGTAATTTGAGAGTTATATAATAATCTGGTCGTCTTCCATTTTGTGATCTGATGTGGTCATCCTCCGGTTTTGTATAATGCCAGTTTTTGCAAACAACCTGATCTTTGGAACCGAACCATGTTAGTAAGTGAGAAGTAGTGTATTTGGTTGTCAGGTATTACTGTGATGGTCCCCTAGAAAGTAATATTTTATCAGATGGCAAAAATTAACATTTTTACTTTTTCATGAGTATGTTGGAGGAAATAAAAATGCATAGATGAATACCTTGGTCCAAGAAAACTAGCTGATAAATTATTTCCAAAAGGAAATTAATAAGACACAAAAACTAACCTCTTTTGTTCCTATTAATAGCTAAACTTACTGAGTTCTTATATATGTCAGTCACTGTATTAAATACTTTATATGTAATATCTCATTTAATCTTCATATTGCTCTATGAATTGAAACAAATTTTGTTTCTAATTTACTGATGAGAAAACCGAGACAATGGAAGATTAAGTTAGTTTTCGAGGTGGAAGGGAATTTGATTGCAGAGTTAGGTTCTTAACTCTGTTATTCACCTAGACTGTAAACTAAAGTCTAGTATAAAGACTTTATACTAAAGTCAATAGACTTTATATTGAAACATCATATTACCCTACATCAGTGACTCCTAGTCTTGATGTACATTAGAGTCATCTGGGCCTCTATTCTAGGCCCCACCACAAGGAGCTCTGGTGGCACTGTGGTTAAAGGATTGGGCTGTTAATCCAAAGTTGGTTGTTTAAACCCCAGCCACTCTGTTGGAGAAAGTGAGGCAGTCTGCTACTGTAAATATTTACAGCCTTGGAAACCCTATGGAGTAGTTCTACTCTGTCCTAGGGGGTCACTGTGAGTTGCAGTTTATTTGATGGCAGTGAGTTGGGTCGGTTTTGGGCCCCACCACCAGAGACTTTGATTGGGTATGGGGCCTGAGCACGGGCAACCTTATAAAGCACCCTTGAGAATCCGAGGTACAAAGTGGAGAACTACTAGTTTAAATAGTAGGAGGCAGAATTAGAAATTGACTTGAGCTTTTTCACTTTGTTCTAAGTTTGGTATTTTCTCCTAATATTCAGAATAAATGCCATGGTTTGAGATTTGACAAGAAGAGTCCTTGTTCATCTAGTGTTGTGCTGTGGCCTTCCCAGTTTCAGGCAAAGAACCCACCATGGTGTTGACTTGACTTTCACTTTTTAAGGAAGATGGACTGGGAAAATCATGAGCCTCATCTGTTGCCCCTGACTCTCCTAATGGAATCTGGGGAGCTAGAAACGAACTGTGGGCTAGGGGCAGGGGATCAAGGGCTATGACTGATTCCTGGAATAGAGTTCCAGGAAGAATCATAGCCATTTCCAAGAAGTTCTTCCTGATTCCTGGAAAGTCAGGGGGGCTCTCATGCTCCAGACCACGCCCCTATACAGTACAACCTGGGAAAGCTGGAACTCGTGTAAGCAGAAACCTGTCAGAGAAGGAAACCCCAAGTATTTTCCACTAAAAGGAGGGATAGAAAAGTGGTACGACTGCACCCTGTCAAAGGCAGAAAACTTTCGAGGCCTAGAAAAATAAGGCCCTCCCACCGAGGTCCAGCCCTCACAGTTTTCACTGTATCTTGGATCCATGTTATTCAGGTAAGAATCAAATGGCCCCAATGGAAATGAGAAACCCCAGTGGCCTCTAATTATGAGCACAAATGAAAGACCAAAGAGAAGTATTTGACATCTTACTCTGGTGTAAGATTTCCAGTAGCAAAGTGTAGTTAGTTTTCTAACGAATTATGTTTCTGGTTGTGTTTATTTCCACCGTCAGTTGTTAATTTCAGAGTTTGTCTTGATGGCCTGTAGCCTTTAGTCAAGGGAATGTGCTTACACTTCTGTGTCCTTTATACTAGCAAAATCGACCGAGTAAATACTTGCAGGTACTCAAATAAGAAAAGACCTTTTATCTTTCAGTCTTGAGAAACGTAAGCAAAACCGTATTTTCCTTCAGTGGACCTTGAACAGTTGGGTGTTTTTGTTTACTTCCTCCTGATGCTTATATGTCCATTTTTACATAAACACATTAGCCAAAGAAGGTGATAATTGAGTAAGTCAAGTTAAAGACCAACTCATTTCTATGGCACAGAATAATAAATAAGTCAGTGAGTTAGGATTCCTTTATTTTGTTCTACTATGAATTATGACTCCTTATAGAGATAATTGGGAGCTCTGGTAGCATAGTGCCTAAGGCACTTGACTGCTAACCAGAAGCCTGGTGCTTCAAACCCACCAGCCACTCCTCGGAAGGAAGATGGGGCAATCTACTTCCGTAGTGATACTGCCTCAGAAAACCAAGGAGGGGTCGCTATGAGTCAGGTCCAACTTGACGGCACATAACTACAACAACATAGAGATAATAAGGAGCCCTGGTGGCAAAGTGGTTAAGCACTTGGCTACTAACCAAAAGGTTGATGGTTCGAACCCACCAGCTGCTCTGTGGAAGGAAGATGTGGCAGCTTGCTCCCACAAAGATTACAACCTTGGTAACCATATGGAGCAGTTCTACTCTGTCCTAGGGGGTCTCTGTGAGTTAGAATAGACTCAGCAACAATCGTTTTGGTTTCTGGTTTTAGAGTGATCATAAAAATACATCTTTAACTTCCTTTCCCCACGTATTAGAACTATGTGCAGATAGTAGAAACACATCTTGAACTGGTTTAAGGAAAAAAAAGGGAAAAGGTGAGAATTTGTTAGAGAAAGATAACAGTCTCGTAGACTCCATTAAGTAGAAACAGTCCAGGAAGGACTGGAACCAGGTAAACCTTTCTTCATGGCTTTTCTCTCCCTTCCTCTACATACCAGCTTCATTTTGGATCTCCTACAGACTGCCTTCCCCTGTTCTCAATCCAGTGTTGGAATGTGATTGCCATCAGCTTCTGTACATTCTCACCCAGAAAGAAACTCATCTCTCTGTTTCAGCCTCCAAATTCCTAGAAAAGGTGTCTAATTGACCAAGCATAGGTCACATGGCTGGGTAGTCCTTGGGGTAATTAGCTGTGGCTGAAGGGATGGATATACTTTGGGGTACATGGTTGTGTGCAGGGAAATCCTGTGGAACAGTGAAGAGGGGGCAGTGTCCAGAAAAGAGGGGTGGCTGGGCAACAGACATTTAAAAGGTGTTTACAGCACATCATCAAACAAACTGTAATTGATAGTGAATGAATTGAAATTTGACTGGCTCTGTACTGGTATGCTTTATCTAAATTCTTCTTATATTTCTTATCAGTTATTATTAGCATTTTCCATGCTGCTGGCTGTGATCCAGGCACCAGGTCTTACTTAAAAGAGTAAGCTTACTATTTAAAAGTGCAAATAGAATCTTATGTAATAAATTGGCTAATTGTTATTTCCTGCTGTGAATGTAGATGGATATGGAAGACAAAAATACATTTAATTTGTCTATTGTTTAATAATCCAAGACACTGATTTGACTGTGGTTAAAATAACTGTTTTTATATTTTGTTTTAGCTAAATAAAGAAAATAAAGCATTGAAAAGAATCAGCATGTTATACATGGCCAAGCTGGGGCCAGATGTGATAACTGAAGAGATAAACATTGATGATGACGGTTCTGCTACGGACGCAGAGGGTGCTGGCGAGACTTGTGTCTCAGTGCAATGTCAGAAGCAAATCAAAGGTGGGACTCCAGTCATGGTTTTGACTCTAGTCGAACAGTGCTTCTCAACCATGGCTGTGCGTTGGAATCATGTGGGAGCTTGTAAAAATACTGATAGTTGGTCCTTTAAAAAAAAAAAAAAAACTTACTGCCATCGAGTCATTTCCAACTCATTGCAACCCCCATCAGGTTTGCAAGGCTCTAAAGCTTATGGAAGTAGATTGCCCTGTCTTCCTTCCACAGAGCGGCTGGTGGGTTTGAACCTCTGACTTTCCGGTTAGCAGTCAAGTAAATTCTGATTTAATAGGCTGAGGATGTATCTTGGTTGAGAATCATTGTGATAGAGTATAGTATCTCTGCTTTATCAGATCCTTTCTTGTTTGGGTGTTGATACTTGAAAACTTTGTCTTGATGGAAATAGCTGGTTAGACTATATAAACTTCTTAAGAATATGTACTATGTGTTAAGATATTTGTATTAAGTGAAAGAATGAATAAATAAAAAAAATATTTAGTGAGTGCCTCCTGTTTGTCCAGGTCTCTGTTGATATCTATGGGGGAAGATTCATTCCCAGTTTAGTCTCTGCTTTCCAGGCACTTCTCATTGGATCCAGGCAATGAGCTATAAGGAATATGCGGTATTAAACAGCTATGTTGGTTGGCAAGTAGTGCTGTAAGGCAAGATCACATGGTACATCTATTCAATAGTCATTAATTGTATTCATGGATATATATACACATTGTTTATGTTAAAGATACAGGAAGTAACTATTAGAACATTGTAACTTAGTGCATGTGTCAAAAGCCATGCTCCTTGTTTTCTAGGTAACATTTCACCTGGAAGTATAAAGAAGAAAGGATGTTACAAACACCATCTTTACCTGACCCTCCACACCCATAAACCTGTTGCCATTGAGTTCCAACTCATAGCAGCCCTGTAGGACAGAACAGAACTGCCCCATAGGGTTTCTAAGACTGTATTCTTTATGGAAGCAGACTACCTCATCTTTCTTCTGCAAAGCAGGAGAAGGGTTCAAACTGCTGACTTTTCAGTTAGCACCCAGACACATAACCACTGTGCCACTGGGGCTCCTTCTGGCCCCTTGAGTAAGACAAAATAAAGTAGAGGCGGGTGGGGGGTTTTGAGGCTATCCTTTGCCCACACTTCTCCCATCTGTTAGGTCTTGCATGGTTTAGCCTCTTGTTCTTGCTTGGGATTAGCCAGCCAGTGGAGAAGGTGATTTAGAACTAGGTCTTTGGGAACTTCAAGCTGGGTTCATGTTAAAAGTTGGATTTAATTTATAAATAACTATATAGCAGGTACTGCCCCTGGAGAAGGTTAATAAATTAAAGCAGTTAAAAACCAAGTGGCAAACAGTAGGCCTGGGTATACACTGAAGTGCTTTGTGCTAATAATCTGTGTCTCTTTTTTAACATTTGAATGGTACAAATAACTTTAATCTAACACCAGAAGCTTATACACTTAAAGTTGCTAATACTTTCATTCTAGTAACACATTTTTCATTAAATCCCAATAATAAAAAATATTTTAAAAATTAAGAAACAAAACACCCACATTTCTCGAGAGAAAATTACTAGCATTAACCCTTCTTTCAAATAGGTTATATTTTGAGTCAGTTCAAATAATATTTAAGGGCTATAACTTGGCAGCAAATCAGGATTTTTTTCTTCAAATCAAAATCTCCCAATTATTAACTGCCCAGTTGTTTGTTTATATTGCATTGTGAAATGAGCCCATGGCCATTATGAAATAATAAAGAAATTAGTGTAGTGCTTTAATTTGTATTGCTGAAAGCTTAAAAATACCTACTTACACAATGCCAGATAGTTTTCTAGAATATGGGTTTGATAGAATACAAAGAAAATAAGAACTGGTAAATGGAGTGTCGTGAGATTACTTGATAGGAAATTGCTTGTGACCTGGCTAACGGGGGTGGGGGTGGGGTGGGGGTGTGGAGGGGAGGGTCGCAGCCCTAGGGAGGCCCCATTGACCTGTACTTCTTCATTTCCCTTTCAGTTGGTCAGTCGCATTGACCATAAGCTGTACATGGACTAGCATTTTACATTCTTTTAACCAGATTGATTTATTCTTTTAAAGATAAATTTAATTCCGTTGTGCTTTTTTTTCCTCCCTTTATCGTTTCTTTGAAATACAGAACTTCAAGATCAAATTGTATCTGTTCAAGAGGAAAAGAAGACATTAGCCACTGAACTGGAAAATCTCAAGAGCAAGCTTGTAGAAGTCAATGACGAAGTATGTATCTTAGGCCTGAAGGCAAGACCTTTGGTGTTGTCAGGCTGTTTGGGGAGTGGCTAAATTAAAAACTTTCTGCCGGAAGTGACTTAATTTCTGATGTGAGAACCATGTGCTAATTTTAATCTTCCCTTCTCCCCCAACTCAGATACTCAGGCGGGTGTAGAGAATAAAATCATGAGCACACAGCCTGTTACCTAGACTCATGAATGAGACACAAAAATAGCACTCACGTGTCCCTTGCTGTCACCCACTTTTTACTGTGTGACATGCATTAGTGAGAATGGTACTACAGTTTCCGGTCATACACTTGATGGCTGTTAGTGAGGGAGAAGGTATTTTGCCTCTCAAGTAAATGGCTAGCTGTGGGGAAGAATTGTCCCCTGTGTACCCTGAACGTAGGCACATAGGAGAGGTGGCAGAATGGGTTCAAGTGAATATTCGGAGAAGCTTTTTCATTTTTGAGCTGTTGTTAAGAGCAAGTACGTATCATAGCCTTTCTTTGCATAAGGCTTCAAGTGAGGACCTGTCTTTGCAGTCTTGATTTAACTTGGTCTCTGGACTCAACTGAGATCTCTGTTGGGGTGTTTGCATTAAAAATAGCAGTCATGTACATTGGATGATTAGAATACTGTCATGTTTAGGGACTGATACCAATGCAGTTGGAATATGAACATAAGTTTTGTACCAACCGCACATCCTGTCTGAAATAGCTCCCTCTGAGGCTTTAGTAGAACTTTAATAAAGGGCTCCATTCTGCTTTAAAGTGTAACTTCGGGTTGAAAGTTGAACAGCAGGAGGAGGGTCACACATTGCATGTGTCGTGTTTTATAATTCTGGGTGTTTCTTGTCTCAAATTCTCACATTTTTAGGTAAATAAAGTCAAACAAGAAAAAGCTGTTTTAAATGCAGAAGTTCTTGAACAAAGAAAAGTCTTAGAAAAATGCAATAGAGGTAGGTATGTGTTTCTGTTCTTCTCTCTCAAGTATGTTTGCAGTTCGTTTTGTTTATATGTGTTTTGTGTTGTCTTAGGCCTGTGCCTATATCTTGTAGGAAGAATCTCCTCTTACGTATTTCCCTAATGTCTAGCTGCAAGTCTTTCTCATTCCTATTAATTTGTCACTCATCTTAGACTCTGGAGACATTAAAAAAAATGCTTTCATTTGAGGAACTTGAGACCCACCCATTTTGAAACTTTCGAGCTGCCTAGGGACTGGTGCAATGAAGGATTCATGATCACTTCTGTGATTTACACAAAAATGCACTCATTGGTCAGGAGAAGCAGACTTGGTATTGGAGTGAAGTGGAAATTTCTCCCATAACCTCTCTCAGAGAACACTCTGTAATATGTTCACAAGTGACCTTACCATTCTAATTGTGAAATGGCATCGAGTCTCATGAGGCTGTTTCTGTGTCCTCCAGTTTAGGCCTTGGGGCGGAGTCGGAGTGGTGGCCAAGTGCAGTTTCGTAAAAGCAATTCTAAGGAAGAGGCCTTAGTGTGCTTTTTGTTACTTCTCTTTCTTTCAGCCACTGAAAAAGTGTTTGTAGTTTAATGGTACTCTTTTTTCTATTTCAGAATCTACAACCCTAATAGGAAATCCTTCAGATTTCAGGGCCTTCCATGTTGTTATGGGTGGTGGCTCTAACCCTTTGCATCATTTATGAATTGTTGTTATTGTTGTTGGTGCCATCAAGTTGTCTCCAACTCATAACAACCCTATGCACAGCAGAACAAAACATATCCTTCTCCAGGGAGTGGTTCCTTCTGACAACATGACCAAAGCAGGTGAGACGAAGTCTGGCCATTCTTGCTTCCAAGGAGCATTCCAGCTGCACTTCTTCCAAAACAGTTTATTACTCCTTTTAGCAGACCATAGTACTCTAACCATTCTTCTCCAACACCACAACTCAAAAGCATCAGCTCTTCTTTGGTCTTCCTTATTCATCATCCAGCTCTCATATGCATAAGAGGCAGTTGAAAATGTCATGGCTTGGTTTAGGTGCACCTTAGTCTTCAAGGAGACATCTTTGCTCTTCATCACTTTAAAGAGGTCTTTTGCAGCAGATTTGCCTGATGAAATATGTTGTCTGATGTCTTGACTGCTGCTTCCATTGGTGTTGATTGTAGAGCCAAGTAATATGAAATCCTTGACAACTTCAATCTTTTCTCCATCTACCATGAAGCTGTTTATTGGACCAGTTGTGAGGATTTTTGTTTTCTGTACATTGAGGTACAATCTGTACTGTAGACTGTAGTCTTTAATCTTCATCAGTAACTGCTTCAAGTCATCCTCACCTTCAGCAAGCAAAGTTGTGCCATCTATGTATTGCAGGTTGTTAATGAGTCTTCCTCCAATCCTGATGCCACGTTCTTCTTCACATAATCCAGCTTCTCAGGTTATTTACTCAGCATACAAGGTGAATAAGTATGGTGGAAGGATACAACCCTGATGTACTCTCTTCTTGATTTTGAACCATGCAGTATCCCCTTCTTCTGTTTGAACAATAGCCTCCTGATCTATGTACACGTTCCTCACGAGTACAATCAAGTGTTCTGGAATTCCCATTCTTCTTGATATTACCCATAATTTGTTATGATCCACACAATCAAATGCTTTTGCATAGTCAATAAAACATAAGTAAACATCTTTCTGGTATTCTTTGCTTTCAGCTAAGATCTATCTGACATCAGCAGTGATATCCTTCATTCCATGTCCTCTTCTGAATCTAGCTTGCATTTCTGGAAGCTCTCTGTCAATATACTCCTGCAACC